ATTAATTCTCCGTAAAAATACAAATTTCGATGGAGGACTCGCGGTGAATCACTCGATCTTTCAGGTTCGTATCGTTTGTTGTGCGATTTGCATTAAAAATTTTTTTCTTTCGTTATGCCGATGATTCCTTCGGGGAGGAATCATCCTATTAGTCTCAGGGTTGAAACAATAAGTTTGGGCTCTGAGTAAAAATGGCATTTGCGAGGATATCACGTCCCGGGGGGGATTGATTCTCTCAGGTTGTGTCCAGGATGCAGTTTTGGAGTTTCACACTGGCCGGCTGCTACGACAGCAGCTTGAAAAACATCAGAGCCAGCGATATGTTGATTAAGAACACCAACATTACTAATTGCTGTCGTGAAAAAAAGTCCTGCAACACATTAAGCCATTTTAATCCCTCAAATTCTATAGATTTCGTCAGAGAGACAAATTTCCACTTCAATCGCAATTTAACTTTTTTATAAACATTTTATTCTCAAACGATTCAAAATAAATTCAATCGAGATCTTAATGCTGTGATAATGAAATTTCTCTCTGATTTTTTTAATCTGCATTACTCTTCGTTAATTAATTAATCGATTGAAAAACGATACGTGGAGAGAAAAATTCATTAAAAAAATTACGAGATTGCCATTGATTGATTCATTCGATTGAGAAAATTAAATCGATGGCATTGTAATTTTACCAGAAATTTAATATAAAAAATGGGCAATGCTCAGGGAATAATCAGTAAAACTGAAAAATCCTGAAGTAGAAAATATAATTTCTATTGAATATTTCTCTCATGGTGAATTCTTACTTTGACCTGCGGACTGACTAGATACAGCAGGGGATTGGCCCTGAGCCTCTCGCTCTCGTCGATTTGTCGTCGTATTTCTTCTCTCCTCATACTGCTAAGAACACTGACCTCTTCCCTGGATAATGGTGAAGTTGCAGTCAATTGAATTGGTCCAGCGACATCCGGCAGTGATTTTTTCCTCTGCAGGGGCATCGAGCTCACAGGTATCGCCTAAACAATCCAATGTTGTTCCATATTCTTCTTCAATCGTAAGACATTGCAAATGCAAATGAACCCAATAATTCAATTCACTGGGAAAAAATCGGAAAATTTACTCCCAAATTGCCAATTTTTTAAATAAAAATCTTTTTTTTCTCTGTGTAAATCTAGAGCTGCTAGCTCTGTTTGTTAAACGATTTTAGTTAATCTAGTCATGCGGGATTTATTGGGCTTCTATACATTTTGCACTAAGAAAATATTATTTTATAGTACAAGTGAAAAAAAAGAGCGTTTTTCGGAAAATAATCCTAAAAGTCTGACGTCTAATTTTTATCTGAGTTGAGAATAGATTTTAATCGATCGAGTGTTGCATTATAATTTCTACAGGTGTTTCGCCAGATAATTTAACAATTGAGAATTTTTTTCAAGATAAAATCATAATTAATCGAGATCACCTGGGGAAATGATATTTTTGTGAAAATACACACTTGTCTCACGTTCACGAGTGATTGGCAAAAATGATTTCTATCTGCAATGAAAATTTCACCTCCCACTCTGTGGAAAACACTGGGAAAACTGGCGAAACACCTGAAATTTCGAAATTCTCAAATTCCCGATGAGTACCTCAACGGGGGGTGCGACAATCCAGGATTCGGAGGCCCTCCTGGCCATGAGAGCCGGACTACAGAGGAGTGCCTCCTCCTCTTCATCCGGCTCCGACCAAAACATGATGTTATATGATTAAACTCTCGACCTTGAAGCGTTAATTAATTAATTGCCCGCAATTTCGATCAGTTCCACATGTTTTCCCCAATGGAAAATTCGAAAATCCGGGAAAAATCGATTTTTATTCCAGAAAATTTTGGAAAAACTGTTGTGATGATGTTCGAGAGTAGTCACTAGTGGAAAATCAAGTACAGAACTCCCCGAGAGGCCAACAGGCGACAGACTGATCAGAGTTGTCCCTCAGAATTACCAAAATAGCATCTCACGACGTTTGCATCCCCAGCCTCTCGCTGGGGTACATTCATTAACCGTCAAAATAGCGCATCTCAATTTTGAATTAGAAAAAAGTTTGAGGAAAATTACGCAGCACAGAAATATTTCTGAAAGCTGCGATTACTCGATTTCAATCGGCAATAACTCGGAAGCGGCAGAGTGAAATTCGATTTTCCATCTTTTATTCTCACGGTATTGTCTCGAGCTTTGAAATGAGAGTGAACTCATCGAAGTCGTATCTTCGGTTGTCGAGATATCGAGCATTGAAGATGACGAAGTTGATCTCATCTCCCCGACGTGAAAATGAAACTCACTGAGAGGAAATAAATTCCTAGAAAATCGTTATCAAAAAAATAATTCCAATGATCGCAAAGCAAATGAGGTAAAGCCGATGGAGACGATATTCTCTCCCCCGTTCGGCGTCCATTATCTGGTTTTAAAATTAGGTTGTGTAAAAATATCTCGTCTTTAAGAACACAAGAGCCAGTTTCGCCTTTCGATAGCTCACAATAATCTATGCGACATTGTGCCACTAAAAATTTCGATGTCTGAGTCACTTTCCTCAGGGTTTTCTGGCAAACATTCAGAGCACTCCTATAAATTAGCAAGTGCAAAACCAGTGGTTTTTGCAGGATGAAAACAATAATAAATGCATATTTTCCATTTTTACACTAAGAAAAAAATTATCCCTGCCAAATAAAAATGCCTATTCAAATTCGAATTGCAAATTTATGGAATTTCTTCAATTCCAATAAATTTACTGGACAGAAATATTTTTATTTCTCAACTCACGTCACATTTCCGTAAAAGGTGCGACAAGTCGAATTTTCCAGTTCTGTTGGATATCGATTAATCTTAAAAACTATCGATTTTATCCGAAAATATCAAAAGGGTTTTTTTGTTGGAAAATAAATGAGCTATGAAAAAGTCTCCTAACGATTTCCTCTGGGATCGATGGTTATCGAGATAAATCGATAACTGCCGGAAACGATGATTTATCGCAGTTTATTAGTGAAAATGGAAAAAAAAATTGTTCTGAGGGCTTTCCATCCAGAAAATCGTGTGAACATACTTTATTATCTCCATGCAGTTACAGAACCCAACCCTCGGGTCGATCTCACACTCGTCCACAAATATTTAACATTATTCGTTTTATCATCGAGGTAAAGCGAGTTTTCCACACGCGCTAATTAAAATCCAGAATTGTGCGAGAAGAATGACTGGCGTCACAGTATACAATCAAGACATTCATTTGTATTCTCAAGGATTGAATGATCACCCAGAGAAATGATTTATTTCAATCGACTGCATCTTATTATTTAGAAATTTTCCTCGATTTTTTTACAGTAAATATCATTTTATTGGAAATAATTCGTTTAATTTAAATCTGCTTTATGGATTAATTGTGGAGCCTTTTGGATTTATTGGGTGAATTTTTTCTCTGGGTGAATATCTCGTTTCAGGATCTTCTTTCAACATTCAATTCGTGTTATTGTTTTTTTCTTCATAACTTAGCTGTACAATTTTCTATTAGTATAATTCTTGGCACTTTGTTTAATCTCCCACGTGAAGGCATTGTCGCAATCTTCTTTAGTTTTCATTTCGTTAATTCTCGTTAGTGTGGTCGAAATCAGGTACACGGAGGAAAAAATTTATAAAAAATAACAACTTACATTTTTTCCCTGAATTCAATAAAAAATATTCAGAATGTACGTCACTTTTATTTCCATAAATTTAATAGAGAATTCCATTTTATTTTTGTGGAAGTCATAGATTTTGGAAAAATCAGAGAGAAGAGACGAATTGTCGTATCGATTTTGAATTTTTCGATCCGGAAAACTGAATTCGAAAAATTCGGACGGAAACAGTAATTTTTTAAAAGGAGGACTTGATAATAGGTTTTAGTATTTTTTAAACCATTCTAGTTTGTTGCAATTTTTTAAAAATTTGTTTCTCCGTGTATTTTTGGGATAAGGTCCCATCGTTGTGGACGGTTCCGATTTGGAATGTGCTTTGTTGAAAAATAGTTTCAGTATTTAATCTGGTTATTCAGCTTTGGACGTTATCAAAGGAGGAATTCAGGGAATGACAATATCACATACTAAATTTGTTGAGGGAACCTGCGGTGGAGCCTCGACACATTTTTTACAAACATTTACAATAATTAAAACAAATAGAGCACCAGCGAGAGTCAGGGAATTAATAATTCAACTCAATCTGAAAAAAAACATCAATGACTTAATATACATCTGGATGACTTTATTTTAATTTAATTCCCCAAAAATAAATAGAATCGATCCTTTATTTAAAAAATCTAAAGAGAACTAAATAAGATAATTTATTGAATTTCCACCGCAGTCTCCCCTCAATAACAAAAACCATTAGAAATCAGTCTGTCAATCGTTGAATCGAGTGAATAAACAAATAAATTATCAAAGACTCAGGCATTATCGAATGATTCTTAAAATGTGCGCTATCATTGGTGAGGATTAAAAAATTATGAATATCATGCGTTAGAAAAATAATTGATCTGAATAAAATTGTGTAAAGGACGTCGTGTGGTGGTGTGGAGGAATTCTCTCCCTTGAATCAGAGGATTATCCAGGACAAAGTAAAGGCAATTAGTAAATTTTTCATCAAACGATTACGAGGTGTTAATAAATAGAAAAAATAGATGGGAAAATTGATAAAAAAAATCGAGGTCCCCGCCTCCACACCGCCTCACAACGGCCTTACCTTCTCATCACTCAATATTGGTTCTTTTTTTTTTTTGTTAAAATTGTTAATCAGCTGAGCGTCAATCATTACTCCAGTGCATGATCAATCCTACCGCTATAATCTCTCAATGTGCGATTACTACTCACTCGTAACAATGAAAATGCCAATTATACAGTAGATCGCATGGAGAAATAAATTTTCTGAGTACCTCGGGTACTGAAAAATATATCTATCACTTGGTTGACTGTTAAAAAAAATTACTGAATTCTGGGAACGTATTCTAAAAAATTCAAGCTCAAAGGAAAAATTCGTTGACGTTCATTAATTTTCGTGAGATAATTGAAAGTAATTGAAACATGAAAGTTCAAAATTACTCTCGGATTTCAGGAAATTGAAAAGCCAATTATATTTTTTGCCGTCATTTTTATAATCGTGCAATTGCCATGAATTTCTAATTAAGACATTTTTTGAAAGACGAACTTCCAATTGTTTAATAATTCAAAGGCAAAACCAGGAAAATTCAGTGAATATTTTTTAACAGTACTGAAGTGGTTCACACAACAATCGGACGGCTCACTGTCATATTTCGTTATTTTTTTTCTTAAATTTCTGTTGTACTCATTCGATTAGAAAAATACAGGTGCAATATTTGTTTCTCCGGTGAACAATACCGCGAGTAACAATTCAGGGGGCACTCAACGCTCATAACTTTTACCAGGTACATTTTAAGCTTTGGTTCGAGAACAAATAAAATCCTTCACAGCTGTAGAACACTGAGATAAATGAAAATTACTCTAAGCAGGAATTAATTACTCAGCAAATTGCCCATTCATGCCTCGAGTGTTTCCTGATTAAATCGAGGAACAATTCTAGGAGAAATTCAGGCTTTGTTAAATATCGATGAATCTGAAAAACTATTGGTGTTAAAAGAAAATGCCAAAAGACCTTTTTTACCGATGATTAAATCGACTACAAAAAAGTCCTTTAATGTTTCCTCCTAGAATCACCACATTTCCAGATAAATCGGTAATTAACTGAGAGGTATGAAATTCGATTTAACTTCCTCATCCGTTTGACACTGAAATTACTGATCCTGGGATGTTGTTTGTTCTCTCAGTGCGAGTGAAATTCGATTAGCAGGGGGACGTTTGTTTGATCGATGAATTTTATCTCTTGAATTGTTAGTTAACGTTTTAGGGTACTTATACTCATAAAGTAGCGCGGCCTTGTGTAGTTGCGGCGAAGGCGGGGACCGTCCTGCTCGTGTCCTGAGATCGCATGCACAGAACACAGCACAAAAAAGAAAAACACCACACAGTTACAGACAGATAGAGGCAAATTCTTTGGGTTTTTTACTCACTGACAAAATTCAATGTTTCTGAGCAATCATGGAGAGACAACTTGAGAATTATCAAGAGCTCAATATCTCGTTACAGAAATTTTTTTAAACATCGGTCATTATTTCTTTGTAATTTTCAATTATGAGGCTGAATGTTACTGAGATATTGCGCACTGAGATTTTCAAGGCCTGAATTTCTTGTTGCAAGTACGAAAGTACTTTTCAAAAAACAATTAATTTGTCAGTGTAATTTTGATTGAGTGAAGTTAATGTGGAATATTTTTTGTACATATCGGGAGAGTCAATGGTTGCTTGGAGGATTGTTAATGGAGTAAATTGTTGATTGCATTGATTTATGAACTCACCCTTGTGCCACCCCCTCCGCCACCGCCCCCACCACCACCACCACCGGAGATTCCTGGTGCACGTCCTGGTGTCACGTAAAGGCTCTCAGTGCGTTTTGGCTGGGAACCACTTGGAATCACCTCCTGTCCCATTCCACGACTTCTGAATGCACTCTCGAATTGACTCGATGAGGGAGGAGTATATATCGGAGTTGCTGCACCACTTCCAAATGCAGATCCATTCAGAGGAGTTGGTGATCGCATTAGACTTGCTCCTCTCGCCGTCCTGAAATTTCCAGTTGAAAAATAAAAAGAAATGTGAGAATTTCCCATGAATTTCCCATTTCTCCAATTTTTCGGAATGAAAAAAGATTTCATTCGTTCTCAAGTGATAATTCAACCTTTAGAACCTTTAGTGGAACTGCTACTCTTTTTCACGATTTTAATTTCAAAACCTTTTAAAAAAAACTGAGAAAAACGAAAAGCTCAAAAAATTCATCTGCAAAAATCATTTGAATTCACCTTTCTACACCGTCCTGGGAGGTGACACTCTTGTCCACAGAGGGTTGTCTGGATCCTATTAATCGACTTGGAACGCGATATCGATCGACCGAACTATCACGACTAGGAGGTCTCTTGTAGTGATCCAATCTGAATAACATCATCTATTTATTTTCATGCTCACTTTGGTATTTCCGTTATTTTCCGAGATAATTCAATCAATCCCAGCGATAAAATGCCGGACGTACCTGTCATTGAGAGTTTGTCCAATGGCAGGTCCAGGCCTGTCCTGTTGATTAAGAACTCGACTATTTCTTCGTATACTAGCCCCAACCTGTGACCTCTGTGGATCCACACTCGTCTGGTCACTTTGATACAGCATCTGCTGCTGGATTTGTTGCATTTGCTGCGTATGCTGCATCTGCTGCATCTGAGGCATCTGAGGCATTTGCTGTGGATTCATTGGCTGCACGCCGTATCCCTGAGGATTGTAGGAATTCTGTCCAGATCCGTATTGATTAGTCGTTGGTGACACCTAGAAGTCATTCAAATCATTCAGACTCAAATCCCACGCGTCGATCCAGCATTAACGAGAAAATAAATCAGTCTCAACTAGTTAGACACGAAATCTACAGAATGGATTGAAATATTTCAGAGAATATTTATATGTTGGAGGTAGATTATTGATTTGTTACTGAATATTTGAGCTGGAAATAGTGTGGATTAAATAGGTATTATTATTTTAATCTGAAACTGCGGATTATTCCCCAAATTATTCCTTTATCAAATTATTCAGTGATTATTATTATGATTCAGTGATTATTTTCTATTCATAACGTAATAGTGTCAGGTTTATTCTGATCAGGGGTATTCTATTCTACTGCTTACACCGTAAAAATTCGATGTGAATTGATTACTCGTGGATTCAATCATTGTCTCGTACATCGCCGGAGACTGTATGGGAATCTAGAATTTTCATATTTAATTCAAACCAAACGTGACATTCGGCAGATATAAATGTGGAAGAAATCCAAATAAATTCACCGATTAATAGATAAATAAAGAAATAAATACCTGAGTATTAGGATAATGCGGTGGATACTGTGCAGGAAAATTCTGCATCCCCTGACTATTGAGATTATCATACCCCTGTTGAAACTGACTGGCTCCAGACTGTCCAAATTGTCCACTATCACCACTAGCACCACCATAGTCATACTGATTCGGTAAACTATTCATAAGATGATTGGGAGGCTGATTAAAAGCATTGGATAATGCAGGATTAGCGATTTGATTCTGGACTGGTCCAGGATTGCTCTGATTGTGTCCTGGTTTCATGCTTGCACGTCTTATCGACTGATTGACACTCTGACTGATGGACTGAGGTGTCGGTGCATTTCCATCGACATCAGTTGGCTTTACTGTCATCTGATCACCACTTGGATTATTTCCCTTGGACAATATGCTTTTGGTTGGCATTGCATCCTGAGGTGGTGGAACGTACTTCGGTATTTCCCTGTGCTTCAGCCTCTCCAGTCCAGGTTGACGGAAATCAGGGGCAAATTGTTTAGCCGTCTGCTGAGCGAGTTCAGAATCCTGTCTTGCATGTTCAGCAGCCAAATCAGCTAGCTCTGCTTTACCCCGAGCTGTTGCTGTTCTCGATATCGCAATATCTGCCTTCTGGAGGGCCATTTTACTCGATCTCTGGGCTGCATTCACTGCCGCCTCTATCCTCTCACGGAATTTCGCCGATCTCATCAGGAATAATTGCTTCTTCTTCTGGGATGTTATCAGCACGTTGTTCTTGTACTTTCCCTCCTCTTTGCTACCGTCTCGAAATGTCGTTACGCCGTAACCGTATTTTCGATTATTGAACCACTCGCCCTCGTAACGAAGACCATCACTTCGCTCTGATATTCCAAAGCCTGTGCGCTTGTCGTTCTTCCATTCACCGAGGTACGTCTCGGTTACTGAGGCGTCCATTTGCTCATCCTGTGGAAATGTGGAGTATGTGCAATTGATTTCGTTTATATTGACTCGATTTTTGGGGGGAGAGGTGATTATTGACGCGCATCTTTGAAGCTTTTCATTTAATGCTATTGATCAAGTTAAGCTTTTGTTTACCTCGATGACAAAGGATGCATTGCTGTCGGTGTGGACTGATGCTGATGCTTGGCTCTGCGAGCTCTCGGTTGACATCCATGAGGCTGAGCTTGCATTGCTCCTTATGCTTCCACCGGTTCCTCTGGTTTCGAGATCGCTTGTACTCCGTTGCTTCCGGATCTTCAAGCCCTAGTGATAGATTATTTTTATAGTGATCTTTCTCTCGATCTATTTTACACATTTTAATTATTTTGCTGTCTGATTGGCTCATCATTCTCACCGATAATAATCCTTTTTTCAGGGACTTCTCATTGAGGCTTTTCCGACGTGCGGGTGGATCATCACTCCGTGCCTTGAGGACAAATCCACCTCGGCTGTCGTCCACCCGACGATCTCGGCGGTCCGTCGGCTCTGGAGTTGGTGCCGTCACTGATGCACCGTCGGCACTTCTCAGAGATGTCAATGAGGCACGAATCTGTTGTTTCGGTGGTTTGTAGTGGCTGGCAAGACCAAATGGTGCACTAGTCCTCACTCCGTATCCATGTCGCATACCTCGCAGCCACTGACCCTGGTAAGTACCTGAAAAATCATTGCGTCATTGTGCGTGGGAGTCAAACCGATAGTTTAATTTACGTCAGCGGTAGTTTTTCTCTTTTACGGAATTCTCATCGACATTTTTATCTTGTTTGCGTCAGTACTTTCGGGCTATTAACATCAACTCTGATGTCATTCGTCGAGGGTAATTGCGCGGGTTTCCTTGTACTTCTGACAATCCTGGTTTCAAGGACGTACCTGTCATTTTTTTTATTTTTCTACCCTTGTCGTCATTATTCGAATTTCTTTGTTCAATTGGTGTACAATTATTGAAACATTTTTTTGATTATATGCGAAAGAGAATCGATTTTCAACTTTCTCGATACTGAACAATCGAAATTGATTGAATAATAGACAATTCCAATTTTTTTTCATGGAAAATTTTTATTTCCAACCATTTTTCATTTACGAGATCGTTCTCGCGTGCTCCGGGCATTATCGCGATTTTTCGGCTGCTTGAAATTTTTTGAATTTTCAAAATTTCGCAGCTTCGCGCTCTCTAGGCAAAATTTGTTCGAGAATTTGCCACCTCCACTCGTTCCTACAATGATTCCCGAATTTTCGGGGTTTTTTGAATTTTTGGCATTTTTAACAGAATTGGAAATATTGCATTTATGACCAGAATATACCGTATATCATATATATACCATTTTTCTACGGAGAGTGGTATATCGAGACTGTAAATAAATCGTATGTACAGATTTCAAGACTAAATGATAAGAAAAAAAGGCCCGGGCTCTGGGTCAGGGAGGAAAACTTGTAGAGACACCTGACATTTCATATGAGTGCACCTAAAATACACGAGTGATTCGCAAACGGCCAACTCATATGTATTTGTATTATATTGCTCGTTGTAAAACTCGTTGGGAGGAGGGTAAAATGCAGATATACGAAAAGAGGATGGCAGGGCACACCACCTCACGATACGCAAGTCGGCTATTTCAAGCTGTTCGAGACCCACACTTTCCTACATAGCATCACATCAGGGCTGTAACAATGTTCCATTTCGATAATCAATTCGTTGTTTTTTTTTCTCAATAACATAACTATTTTTATCCACTACCATCCATCCTATCTACTCATCATTATGGATTACCAGGTGAATCTCTCCTGTCGCATCGTAATGGTGTCATAATCATGAATGGAATGGATTTGTTATCGAGATCCCCTGAATTCTGTTATCCTTCGCTTCCTGGATCGCCACGGGGTTTTGACTATGACCGTTGAACTTTTGAATTTTATTGCGAGCGATAATGCGGTTAGTCCACGTTGAATTACGAAAATTACCGACACTCTGCCAAAATATTCTCGTGCCAAACCCACCTGTAAAACTCGGCTTTATTTTTTATCACTTTGGTTATTCACCACGATGAGAAACGAGGATTTGAGTATCTCGGGGGATTCGAGGGCTGCGGTCGTTATTTCAACACTAGATTTTTATTTATTACTCTGTCCATAATTGTAATTTTTTATGGATAGGAAAATTAAATTAACGGAAATAAACTTTGGTGTTTGTTAAGTAGTAAAAAATGTTGAAAAATTTCCTCAGGAATTTAATCCGCATAAATTGTAAAGGACAAATAATATTCATACTTAATTGGGAGCTCGGGTAAAAAAAAAATTGTAATCGGAATATTTTTTCCAAATTTTTTAAAAATTTGTTTCGGAAAATTTTTAAAATAATTTTCTAGAAATGTTTGCGATTATAATTTTTTAAAATTATACTCTTGTTTTTTAATTTTCTTTAATTTTTCAATATTCTCAAAAAATACGCCATCCAAATTATAAAAAAAAATGTCCAATTCAAATTTTTGAAAAATTTTTCAAAACCTTTCCGAAAAGTAAAATTGTTTTGTTTTCGATTTTTTTTGTTTCATAAAAAAAAATTTCTGAAAAGTTTTCCAAAAATTTTTAGAAAATTTGGAAAAAAAATTCCGATCATAATTTTTTTTTACCCAGGAATTCATAATATCAAGTTCGATCGAGGAATTAAATTCCCTGAATTATCCAGATGCCCCAAAATCCCCGGAATTCCCACTGCGGAAATGTGTCAAGTTAACCGCGCACTCTCTATTGATAAAGATTCAAGTTTTTTTTATTGGCAGTTGTGACATCGATTCTCCCGTCGATTAAAATATTTGACAGGACAATTGCTTTCGCTGTGCGACTCACGTGGAGTCGACACGTGTGTCCCACAAACTCGATAAAACCGTGGGAATAATTTCCTTCAAGTATTAATACAAATCAGATCGAGGAAAACCGCGGGTTCCTCACATCAATGGCTGACTGATTTCCTGAATGAATCCTCCGACCATTCAATCAGTTAAAATTTCCTATATTAAAGATTAAAAAAAATACCATAGACCCAGGCGCCTAATTTATTGCATTAATCTATAGAATCAATTGATTTAATCTAATGAAGAATGAAAAAAAAAAACAATGACTCCTCACATTTCCCGCAAAATCAGTCGATATTCCGCAGACCCGTGACTTATCTCACGTCACAATCACCCTCGAGCTTTTATCCCCGATATTTAATGGCGCACTAACATCCGCTGATCATTTCGAAATCAATAATCTCCCGAATTCCTAATTTAACGATGACCTATAAATCATGGGGTATCTGTCGATTGGAGCAATCTGGTAGATTCGAAATGACCAAATGGCGGTGAGTAGTCGAATGAACCTAGTGTGAGCAGTTGGACGTAGCACTGTAGTTGATGAGCGTCTAAATAAAGCACTCAAGAGCAACCGAGCAGAATGAAATGCAATGAAATTTATCTGACGCCACGTACCAACACGCGATCAGAGTGACGTACCAACGAGTCTTACCGGATAAAAGTGCTATAACTCCGGGGAAGATTGAAAACACCGGGAATATTTCGCATTCCTCGAATCCTCGATTCAATCCAAGGCCATTGGTGGATAAAACTAGGAATTAGATCAAGTTCGGGTCAACGGACGTTGTATCAATGAAAAAATTATTGCAATTTCCCCCAGGCGGTGGGGTAAAGGGAAATGGCCGATCGAATTCGTGTGTTTCTACTTGAGTTTAAATAGCGGAAGTGGCAATTTTTACCTTTCGGGGGTGTACTTAGGTACTTAGGGCAGATAATTTTTTTAGATCGAACTCACCACTGTCGGCGTAGGTTTCAGAGCCGTAACCATCCTGGAGACCACTCGCCCATGTACCCTCGTATCTCGCAGTTGATGTTGTCGATTGTCGGACCCCATATCGACCTTTGTATCCCTGGGTCCACTCCCCTCGGTAGAGCCATCTCCCACGCATTTCCATGCCCAGACCGTGTCTTTTTCCATTTTGCCATTGGCCTTCATACGCTGATCCACTGAAAATAAAACCGAAAAAATTAAATTCTCATTACTTTCCAATTTCTACTGGCACCTGGAGAATTCCCAATCTTATCGGTATCGCATTGTCTACGCTGATAACAATTTTACGAATTATTAATTGAATAACCGTTGATAATAATTTATAATAATAATTATTATTGATAAAATAAATGGCATAATATTCAATATCTATGAGTCATGAGAATAAATAAGAACTTTTGCCAAGTGAATTTTCTTACTAGATATCAATTGTTATATCAATTGAATAGATAAATGAAGTATCTAGCAATTAGTCGATTGATAGATCGTCAATGGAGTGATAGATCGTGGGATTCTCAAAAAATAAAAAATATAAATAATGTAAAAAAAATTGTTAGTAGTAATACACATCAGTGAATGGGTTTAAAATTTTAATTCCAAGTTTAATTATTGAAATATTTTTTTAATGCTCAATTCATGATCTATCAAGGGTGAATAATCATTAGACCCAGTGACAAGTGAAGAAACGATGACCTCGACCTGCTTAAAGCAGGCGGTATGGGTTTTGAGGACAGATGAGGTGGAAATTCCTATGTCCCAGTTTCTCGACGCGTTGAAATTAGAGGGTGAGTGGACGCTGAAGCTTTTTTAAATACGCCGGAAGTTTGTACGGGAGATCGTTGACCTTCGTCTTGAAATAAAATATCATCCCGTCTCGGGGACATATATTTTATCATAAAATATTCCTTGAATTTTTCCACATCCACAATTTCATAGAGAAAGCGCTTTCAATTTTCTCATTTCACCAGTGAATTCCAATTTTTTTTGTACGAATTGGATAAATTTCTTTAGATAGACTTTTCTTCGTGAAAAATAGATAATTTCATTGATTGAAAAAAAAGGCTGTTAGCAGATTTATCTCCGTTTATTAGAGCTGATAGTAACGATAATTCTCCGTCAATTCTCCACGGGGAAAGTAAATAGACGATCTTTTCATAGCTCGAGGTGGGGAAAGCCGTAGGGTGAGGAAAATTGGGTCACAGGGTGCAAGGACAGATGTGGTTGTTGGAGGTCAGTCCGACCTCGACACAAGTGAATTTATCCGGCGATCCGGGGAAAAATAATTTAACGGAGAAAACATTCCTTTATTCATTCCATCATTTTTTTCTTCCAATAAAAATTCAATTCGCCGGGAGAAACATTTATAATTAAATTTATCCCAACATCTGCTAATAAATATCTAAACTCCAATCGATTTCGTTTTAATAATTTTTTTCCGGGTGTCATCCCTGGTGAGACGAAAGACTCACCTGGGCCACGTGTAGACCCCTGACACCTCGAATCCATAATGCCAGCTGCCGGAATATGCGCCCTGTCCCTTGGGCCCAGTGCACACCCCATGTCCATGGGCCTTGCCATCCTCCCATCCACCGCAATAAGTACCACCATCGTCAAAATCAAATCTCCCGCCATTAACCTGCGTGCGATTGGTGGTGGTGGTGCCACTTGCGGGACTCACCTGGGGGGGACTGATGCTACCAGGTGGTGCCCCCCCACCAGCAACTCCATTTGCTGGGCCCGTTGGGCCCTGCTGCTGCTGCATCCTGACACTCAAACAACTCGTCTCACTCTCACCAACTCTCGCACCGCCATTTCAACCGCCACGTGCCCCGTCTTCATCAATTCCTGGAAACAACCGGTGAAAAAATCCTTTCCATCACTTTATCATTCTTCACTGTTACCGATTTTTCGATCGATTTTTTCGGGAAATAATTTAATTCAGGAATAACCGATAGTCGCACGAAAGCTCGTGTTGTTTATGCCCCGTGGGTTAACAAAAATTTGAGCTTTTGAGAGAAAAAAAAATGGGGGGGGACGCATGCGCGAAATCTGGCGCTGATCACCGCAAGCACGAAACTACTTCACCCACCGGTCTAACCGAAAATCTCGTTACGCAATGCTTCTATAAGCATCCGTGATCTGCTTGGAATGTGATGCCGCATCCCTTTCTTTTGAGCTTTTTTTTCCCCCCTCGTACAGCCGTAATACGCGGTACACAGGATTGCGCCAATACCGCGCCCCCGGGAACAGCTGGGATTTTTTTTTTTCTTTTCAAACCGATTCTCCCGAAATTCAACCGAATCGTTCGATTTTTTATCTCGCATTCACGAGCGGTTTAGCTAGCCTAGGGTTTCTATTTTTACCATGGGGTAGAGGCGAATTGTTTCAACGAGGCGCGTCTCACACACGCATTCTCGTCAATGCGACTCAACCGGGGTTCAAACTCATTTTATAAATAGTTTTGTTAATGTACGTGTGTGTGCGGCTTTCGGATTTTCAAACGGGGAATCGTCAATCATCGGGATTATGTTGATCAATTTTTTTTTTTCTCGGGGTTACGGAAATTCCGGTGTCAGGGAATCGGTGATACGCGTCTTCTTGGGTTTAATCGGTTGTAATTAGTGGGATAATTGCGTCACATTGCGGCGTCAAGACTAGTGTCAACGGCTATCGCGAAGAATTTTTAAATACTACTCGATTGAATAGTAAAATTGATATCGAAGGTCGCGGGATGAGTCGATTTTTATTACTTCGTTACATATCGATTGTTTCCACAAGTATTGATTTTAGGGGAAATAATTCATCACATTTTTTGGAGGAAATTTGATTAGCTAGAGGAAAGTTCTCTAGTGTTTCTCCACGAAGGCGATATTTCGAGATAAATCGATAGACCAGAAAACTTTTGAAATCGACTTATCTAAGTTTACCTTCACTACTGATTTTCAGTTTTCCCTTCAGACCATTTACAAGTATTAAAATTCCATTCAACCCTTAATAAAATGGAAGATCCCTCCCCTACACCATCCCACCTTACCTGATTTCCAAATTCAGCATAAAAATCGCAAAACAATCGATTTACTCCATAAAAAAATGATTTCCGGAAAAACCTCAAGAGACATTTTTTCCCGGAAATGAAATTCCCCACAAAAAACTCCTCTACCATTTCCCACTAAAATCGATACTTCTCGCGATAAATCGATGCTGAACAACACAATTAAAATCGACTCATCTGACTTTACCCTCGGAGTCAAAATGCAAAAAGCTCAAGCGGAGAATTCCCCAGCGATCTCGTGGAACCCGAGCTTTCCCTTATTCTCAAATTCTCCCCACCCCCATGTCATCCAGATTACATAAAAAAAAAATACTGGCAAAATGATTCATCCCTCGTAGGAATTCCGGCACCACGATTTCACAGTTAATTCATCCGCGGATGAGCACTCACACGAATTTCTTCCGTCCTTGACACGAAAAACACATGTTTGCCTTCTTCGATTATATTCACAGGAGGTGGGCCACACATTCCACGTTGAAATCGTCTCGAATATATTTATTATACACAAGACACTGTTGAGGTATCGCGAGAGGGGGAGGGGTTAAAAGGGGGTGGTATAAGAGGGGGAAGTCTGGGTCAAGCACACTGTGGGGAGGAAAAGGCAAAAAAAAGCTGTAATGGACGTGAAGTTAGGTGAGGCACCGCAGCGGAAATTCGGTCACGAGTCGACGCGATTGGGGTTTTTTTTTTATTCGTAAAAAAATCGAGAGGGATAAATTTTTTGCCGATGTAGTTACGGTAGCGTATCCCACCCCCCCTGCCCCTCCCCCGGAACTCGATAGCCTTTTGGGGGTGGGTAACCACTGCTCAATGTCGATCTCGAATTAATTTTCTGTCTCAGGAATGCTACGACGTTCACCTCGTTCTCGTCGGGGAGTTGACCAATTTTCCAGTCATCAGATGAATTGTTTCAACACTCGGTTTATACTCTTGCTTATGTAAAGATGTGTCATTATTTATGTAAGAGGGTGGGAATCGAGATTTATTTTGTTATCGTTTATTTTATTATATTTTTTTTTTTTTCCAATGGTTTTAGGGTCGTTTTTAGGTAGTCGACGTCGACGGCGCGGAGTGTCACGAATGGTTGGTACGTCAGGGTGGTGGCATCATTGCAAACTACCTTTTGGCCCGATGGCGCAGCCCCTCGAAAGCGTCGTCGCGAGCTTTTTATGTATGTGTGTTTATTCGGTATGTGTACTGGTGGATTGTCGTAATGGACATGCGCGGTTTAGTGCCGGCTATGGGGGACATCCTCGAGCCCAGTTTGAGAGATGTGTTGGAGGCAATTGCATCTTGAAAAATATTTTTCATCATTGGGAATAAATAATTCATACATGCAATGAGAAAAAAAATTACTCCTCTGAATTAATTGTCTCCTGTCAATGTAATTGATCAGCCAATATCTTAATGTTCATTAATATTAATATTAATGAAACTACTTAGTAAAATTGTTCTAAATTGATCGATTGCAGCCAAGCAATCCACTTGGCAGAAGTTATTATTTTTCTCAATGTAGTTGCAGAGAAAATGTATTAATTTGATTTCTTGCTCATTAATTTCTATTAAGATAAAGTTGTTGGGTCAAAGGTGTTTTCCGCAGTTTGACATTCACGTCAATTATCTGTCAGCACTTATCGATATTCTATCAATAATTCGTAGATTTTTTTGCAACTTGCGAGATACGCGGCATGAGGATCAAGGTCACTCTTATTTCAAGTTATTCATTGATATCGTAACTGTTGTTTTGACGTACCTCACGCCTCAAACTTTCTTTATAATAGCGCGACGTGTGGATTTGTCATACAATCATGTAAATATTTTCCATCCAATTGTTTTTCGTCTCGAGCTTCTCCGATAACATGTCGATACCAAAAGTCATTGCTACATCCAGAATTCAAGACAATGAAAGTCATCAGTCCGTAAAGACGTCACTTTAAGACCCCTCTCGATGCACCCCACACAGAAAAATTCAATTGCCAAACTGAAATAAATATTTGAATAATAAAAATTGATTGAAATCACCGATTCGACCGTTGCGAAAAAAAATGCAATTTTACGTGGAAAAATGACTCGGAGAAATTCATGAACGAAAAATTTATAGAAGTCGAATTCAGTCGTCGGGATTTCGAGGATTATCTCGGAATCTATAAGAGTTTGTGAAATTTTTATTGGACATTTTTTGTGAAGTGGAATAAGAGGTACAAAAATGGTTCTGATAAAAATTCTGTTATCTCCGTTTGCCGAAGAGATATCAACGATGAAGAGGTTGGCGAAAACTCATTAGAAAAATGGAGTTGTCGCCCTTCACCTCGTCGCTACTGGATTAATTTTATTATTACATCATTGTAAATTATGAATTGATCTTAAGATGGCGGCAATTCGTTATATTTCCAATGCAATTATTGACGCATTAATTTTATCGTGCGTGTCAGAATAATTTGCATCAGATAATGACGAAATTGCACTGATACATTACACACCACAAACTGCAATGAAATCCACTGATTTCTCCTGACAAATGCATTTGCCTTCATCCGATCAAAAACCGCACAATTACGAGACAAATTGGAGAAATATCCCGGGCACTGCATTTGGCCAGTCCAATATTGAAGTATTCAATTTCATACGCAAAAATATTTCGAAACATTCTAATCCTCAATAATCAATAAAAACATAAAAAATACCATAAAAAACTATTTCTGGGGAAACTTCTACTCAACACTATCCACTTGATATTATAAAATATCCAAATACTTCCACAAAAAATTGTCATTCCCATCCCCATTCGTGACATTAGAAAAATGTTCGATTAATTTGAAAAATGCAATTTTTGAGTGAAAAGGAATTGTTCACCACGAGTTCGTGTTTTAAATTGCTAGACGATAGGATTCTCTATGACCACCTAGTATAAAACCCCGACGTAAAGAAAACCCAACGAAGGGGCTTCATATTCCAACCGGTAATATAATTAACTTTCCCATCAGTGTCGACTTACCTGTCAGTCGTCCCCAAGCCCTCGTCCACTCAACTGCATCATTGAACTCCAAGAAAAAATTATTTCGATGTTCGCATGTTAAATTTCACCACACCATCTCAGAATAACGTGAAACAATCTGTTTTGATTGCGTATTAATCTTATCGCAACTGATGCCGCACCGGTGGGACAGTATATATTGGAAGTATCAGTATGAGCGGAGGATCGAAACAGAGTGTGCGAATGGCAATGGACGTCCTAGAGTTGAATTTTCTGACTGTACAATTGGCAGATCAGAGTATTAACGACATCAAGAAACGAGATTGCGAGGAAGTGTGTGAGAATTTGAGGATAATTACTCTGGAGCAATTATCGAGGCACGACAGACACGACGACTGCTGGATTGCTGTGTACGACAGGGTTTACGATTGCACAGCATTTATTGGGAAGCATCCTGGAGGACAGGACGTCATCCTCGAGTACGCGGGAAGGGACGCAACCCTTGCCTTCGTGGACTCTGGCCACTCCGTCGAGGCGAATCGCATCCTGAGGGATTATCTCATCGGACAACTGCCTCCACACGAAAGACTCTGGCTCCCCAATCGCATCAAAGTCAACAGGAATTAACGTAAAACATGGAAAAACATTTACGTAGAAAGTGGGATATTGCTGCCATATTTATTATTGTACTATTTAATTTCCTAATCAATTAGTAATAATTTGGAGAATATCCTGTCGGATGGATTGAACTTATCGGAGGAGTCGAGACAATCGATGATTATTATTATCGATCGTTTGGATTTTTTATTTCAAATTTCGAATTCACAATTTTCACTGATTTTTTTTCGGTGTCTTTTTTATATTATTTTTAATAATGATATTATTTTTGGGTGAACTCGATTGGAATAGTAATGAAACGAATTGTTTGAGATATAATTAGATAATTGGATTTTAATAACTATTTTTGGAGTTATCGTTGGCAAAAATTGCTATCAATAGAGATACAGCGGCTAGTAATGGATTTTTTTGTGTGCGGATTATTCTAGAGGCTTGCGATTTTTTTTATGAAGGGGAATGGCAGATATGATAATTTTAACGGCCGTTTCGTAATTTAATGGTATATATCGTAGTCGATAAGTATTTGATAAGTATTTAATT